ATAATTGAATATCCATTTAACTAGCTTATTAGTCCAGCTTGCATAGATTTAATATCTTAAAAGCTGGAGGTACTAATCTCAATTTCATAGGATACATTTTAATCTAATCTAATTACCCCATTAATTCCTATCAAACTAATAAAAATAGAATTCGTTATATTGATTTAATTGCAATCATTTTGGCAAGTTGTTATCAAAGATTAACCTTATTTACTATCTTAATAGGAAGCTTAGCCGGATAATCCGTAAAAATGATCTTAATTAAAGGACGATGTATGAGTTATAATGCTTCCGCATGTTTTGAAGTTCTCAAATTTTGAGTCAATAATCTCTACTATACTTCCAAATTTATTTATCTCAATAAATGAATGGAAATTGTATAAGTAATTCTTAAACTCTACTTTCTAAAATATGATTAATAATTTGTGGATTTACCTCTAATTTTAGAATAGGAGGTGATGATAACATTGTCTCTAAGCCTACATCGAATTCAAAAAACGATCCAAATCCCTATCTTTTTGTACAGTCTTATTATTCTAACTAATCATTAACATCATTGTTTAAGAAATTATTTTAGCAAATTGAAGGGCCAATTATAGTATATCGCTTCATGTCGAAATCATACTCTGATTAACAACAACTAGAGGAAAAATCTTCCAAGCATTAATATTCTTAAGATTCTATTGAGGATAAGTCGATATTTCCCCCTCTAATGTCTATAATAGAATCTGTTGCATCAAACATTATGTTTCTAATAATTAATCCAGCTCCAACTTGAAATTTGAATTTATCTCTCAACTTATAATAAACCTTTGTTGGGATTGAATCCACAGTATCTAAAATAATCATTGTAGTTTATTAATCATCAAATTTTTCAAAAATTTTCATTTTGGAATTATATCTTAACATTGAATGGGTCTAGTTTGAAAATAAATAGATTCTTATTGTAGATTAATTATAAGGAGAACCTAATTCATATGCTTTTTATAAAGCACCTATTATTGAATAAAATGGATAATTTAGGGAACCATCTTATAATATGCCAGAACTTTAGTTATTAGATTAAACATACAACTCACCCTCAAATTTACCTAGTTTTTGTAAACATATCCCTGCTTTTTCACCATCTCTAGTATTTAGATAGTAGCCTTACTTACATGATATACATTTATATTTAGAACTACATTCAAAGCAGGATGAGTCACATTCTAAACAAATAGTTGATTCAATCATTCCTTTGTATCCAAATGTTACATTTCCATATCTTCCAACACCACAATTCGGTACACAATTGCCAGTTATTAAATCGACAAAACCATCCAAGCATGCTTTTATTGATATCTATTTAGGGCTCTCCTCGTCAAGCTGGTGAGTGCATCATAGTGTTTAAAGCGAATTTTATTTTTCATTATTGCATTCTAAATGGGTTTAACCTTAAAAATAAATCATTCTTACAATAGCAAAGCTATTAATTTCCTATTTAATAAGTACTAAAACCGTAAACACAAGTTAAGCATTAATATAGTGATGTAGCTTGCAAACAAATATCACGTTAAATATCTAATTAAATTTTATTTAAATCGAAAGCCTACGAGGAATGCAAATATTTTGATATCTACCAGCTGATGAATTAAAATACCCTTATTTATCAAGAAAATATCCATCTTGGCAAAGAGCACAGTTAAACTGATCATTGTAGTCATAAATTTCACAATAATCAATATTGCAAAAGGATGAAGCAGTTTGAGGTTCTATAGAATAATAAAGCTTAAATTCGATACAACAAGGATTATCAATATCACCAGTTGCAAGTGATCTTTGATTTATAGGGTCATTACATTCAGTACATTCGCTTAAATTAGTTTAAGAACATTTTTAACAATCAAATAATGATTCACACTCTATAGTAAATTTTTTGAAAGATTACTATTACATAAGCAAGTTTTAAATCCAGTTTAATGAGTTCCTTTATCTATTGATATAGTATTTAACCAACCTTAATGATATTTTTCACCAGGACAAGATAGGCAACCATTATTAAAATCACAAGTCTCACAATAGGATCCACAATCTAGATATTAATTATTAGGAGAAATATGGTATAATTACTTTTGCATTCTGAAGTAATATGATTATTTGCAAATGAATTATGAGCTTGTGAACAATCAGGAACACAAAATGAGTTATAGTATCAAAATTAACCAACATCCGAATCTTTATTTAGCAGAAAGAGACCATCTTCGCATTGTTGACAAGAGACTTTTTTAAATCCTGATGTACCAGAAATTTACTCACATTTTTAGCATCCATGAATTATAGTGGAGCATTCTAAAAGTATAAATCAATCTATAGTCTTACAAATGCATGTAGAATTGTCAGAATCATGATAATAATTGAGATCACCTAGAAGAGCAAAATTGAAATTGATATGATTACAGATTTTTCCAAACGTAAATTTATTTAAACAGGTTATCTAGAGTATGATTAGTATACTGAGTAATAAAAGCATCTTTTCAAGTTTCTATTGATTAGAGTTATATAGTCTGCTTAATTAATAGCTTTAATAAATTAATTAATTTCTAATAATCTGCCTTTCCAAAAAAAATAGATGATTGTTAAATGGGGTTTTGGGGTTTTGGGG